GGGTATCATCTTTAAAATTAACAAAAAGTGTATTATCATGCTCCCAAAACTGATTTACAGCATAAAGAGGAGGTAATGCTATTCATTTACAATTGTAAAGCAAGCGCAGTCCTAATGTTAAATTCTGCCAAGATACTGCACATGCATACACTTGTGTACAAATACACACAAATTCAGATCAATCTTATGAAAATATATGTAAAAATCATAAATAAAATATTGGAAAATCAAACGTGGAGTTAGAAGTAATGTACCATGACTGAGGTTATCCCAGAAATAAAAAAATTAATAACATAAAGGAAATGGTGTTTAATAAAACCTAATTATCTATTTCCAATGAAGTGGAAGTCTTACTAAACAATAACTAGACAATAATTTTTTATGGTGACAAAGAAAATCTATTTCAAGCCAACAACTCCCACCAGCTTAGTGTGAAAATCATTAGAGTCATTCTCATTGAAGTGATGCAAAGACAAAGAGAACTATGATCACCGTGATCAATTGTTACTGTTTTAGGATTGCTAGCCCACATTTTAGGATAGGAATGAGATGCCACATTTGGGAGAACCCAACAAAAACATCTTTATGAACATAATCAGATGAAAAAGATTAGAATTAATAAGAGAGTACCATAAGAGAACCAGATATAAAATTAGCACACAAATTGTAGCTTTCTTACATACTACCAATAACTAGTTATTAAATAATTGAAAAATGATCTCATTTGCAAAAGCAACTAGGCTATTAAATGTGCAGAAATAAAACATGGTAAAGATCTATAGGGAGAAAATGACAAACTTTGCTTAAGGATATAATATAGCCTTGAGAAATGTATGGTATTCTAGATGTGAAGACTAAACATTGTATAGATAAGGAAGTCCCAAATTAAATACAGGATTAAAAGAAATTCCAACCAAAATCTCAATACACTATGGTGGAACTTGGCAAAGGGAATGTTTTAAATGCATGTAGAAAAATAGGCAAGACAGCCAAGACATTAAAAAAAAAAAAACCCAAAGTTTTATCAGGGTGTGGTGGGGTGCTCCTGTAGTCCTAGCTACTCAGGAGGCTGAGGCTGAGGCTGGAGGATCTCTTGAGTCCAGGAGTTCAAAGCTGCAGTGAGCTCTTGAGCCAAGGAGTTCAAGGCTGCCACTAAGGCTGGAGTGGTGATGCTGCACTCCAGCCTTAGTGGCAGAGTGAGACTCTGTTTCTAAAAACAAACCAACAAAAAACCAAGCGTAAAAAGGGGAACCTAGAACTACCAGGCATCAAAATTAAGAGTTGAGGTAATGACATCAAATGATTGTTCAGAATAAAAGCCCTGAAACAGGCTCTGTACAAGAATTAAGTGAATGAGAATGGTAGTTTTTCAAATCAGTAGGTAAAGGAAAGATACTTCAGTAAGTCTCACATTAAATATCCAACACGAAACATTGTCCTAACTTAAATCAGATGCCCAGATTATGATACAACTCAACAAAACAGAGCTGCCCCCCATCCCTCTGGGGTCATCACTGTTTATCATCCATGTGACCCTGATCATGCCACAGCCCTTCTGGGTCTCTACCAACTCAACCTCTCCCGATTTGGGGTTTGGAAGATAAAATCCCAGTGGTTTTAACATCATTCGTTCTCTAAGTGTATTCACTGGAGAGAAAACAAGTCTCAAATGTATTGAAGCCCTCACAGTAAGTATGGAGAAATTGGCAGGATACGATTGGTTTCCATTCCTAGATGGATCAGAATGGTCAGGTGGCCTTCACACCCAGGATTCTGGGGGCAGCTGGACACAAATGGCGAAGCTGGGCAGGTGCCTGAGTTGGTCCCCAGATTCCAAAGCTGAGCAATCCCTCCCCACAGATTTACTGCCTCCACCCCACACACCTTGGCCATCAGCATCTGGTAGGCATACAGTCGCTTGCCTTTCCCCTTTCCCAAGGCACCTTCATACTTCTCCACAAATTCCTGGGCCTCCCTGCTTAGAAAAAAGAAAACAAACAAACAAACAAACAAAAACACAGGAATTCAGTTAGCACCTAACCAAAGGAAATCTGAACTATGAAGGCTCAAACATATGTGCGAAGGCTTATGTCTTTGTATACCTCTGGTTAAAATATAAATTCCATTAAAGCAGGACATTCTGTCTGTTTTATCCACTGAAGTTTCCCAAATGCTGAGAAGTGCGCTTGGTACATAACAGGCATGGTAGAGGCAGAACTATGGCCCCTGTGACCTTCATTTGCAGGTGTTCCACCCATGAATATAATATATTACATGGCAAAAAGGACTTTCAAGATGTAATTAAGATTACTGATTTCATTTTATTTGTTTATTTATTTTTAGAGATAGGGTCTCGCTGTGTTGCTCAGGCTGCTCTTGAACTCCTGAGCTCAAGCAGTCACCTGCCTCTGGCTCCCAAAGTGCTGGGATTACAGGTGTGAACCACCATGCCCAGCCAAGATTATTGATTTTAAAATAAGGAGATTATTCTGGGTCATCTGCATGGCCCCAGTGTAATAAAATAACATGAGCCCTTAAAAACAGAAGAGAAGTCTCTTAAGAAATCTCCAAATTGCTTTCCACGGTGGCTGAAGTAATTTACATTCCCACCAACAATGCGTAAGTGTTTTTTTTCCCCCCACACCCTCACCAGCATCTGTTATGTTTTGACTTTTTAATAATAGCTATTCTGACTGGTGGAAGATGGTGTGTCATTGTGGTTTTGATTTGCATTTTTCTGATGATTAGTGATGAAAATTTTCTCATATGTTTGTTGGAGGCTTGTATGTCTTCTTTTGAGAAGTGTTTGTTCATATTCTTTGTCCTCTCTTTTTTTTTTTCTTTTTTTTTTCTTTTTTTTGCTCTGTCGCCCAGGCTGGAGTGCAGTGATGCGATCTTGGCTCACTGCAAGCTCCACCTCCCGGGTTCACACCATTCTCCTGCCTCAGCCTCCCAAGTAGCTGGGACTACAGGTGCCTGCCACCATGCCCAGCTAATTTTTGTATTTTTAGTAGAGATGGGATTTCACGGTGTTAGCCAGGATGGTCGCGATCTCCTGACCTTGTGATCCGCCTGCCTGGGCTTCCCCAATGCTCTTGATTTTTGTACATTGATTTTGTATCTTGAAACTTTGCTGAAGTCGTTTATCAATTCCAGGAGTCTTTTGGCAGAGTCTTTAGGGTTTTCTACGTAGAGAATCATATAATCAGCAAAGACAGATAATTTGACTTCTTTTCTTTTATTTCCTTCTTTCTTGCCTTTCATTTTTTCCTTTTGTCTGATTGCTCTGATTAAGACTTCCAGTACTGTGTTGAATAGGAGAAGTGAGAATGGGCATTCTTGTCTTGTTCCAGTTCTTAAGGGAAATTATTCCAGTTTTTGCCCATTCATTATGAATTTCACTATGGGTTTCTCATAGATAACTTTTATTATTTTGAGGTATGTTCCTTCAATGCCTAGTTTGTTGGAGGCTTTTATCATGAAGGGATATTAGATTTTATCAAATGTGAAGCAGGAAAATTATTGACTCTTTGTATCTGGGGCCCCTTTGGAGGGGCTACATAAAAAGCATGAGAAGGAAATGAATTCTGCCAACAGTCGGTGAGCTCAAAAGAGAACCTTAGTCCTGGATGAGAACTGCAGTCCTACTGATACCGTGATTTTGGTGTGATGAGACCCTGAACAGAGAATCCAGCCATGCCATGCTGGACTTCTGACCTACAGAACTGTGCGCTAATTAACGAGTGGTATTTTAAACTCTTAACCTGTGGTAATTTGTTGCAATAGCAATATAAAATTAATACAGATGT